ATGACTAAAAAACGCACTCCTTGTGCTTTTTGTGCAAACCTACTAATTCAATCCATAGCTTCATGTTGGGAGCAGGTATGTCATGAAGTGGAATAATTCCAATAGTCGTCTCCGCCTATGTGCTGACTCCTAAAAATTCAGGCCGCCTGGGAAAAAAATACCAAATGTTTTTACACCAAAGTTTGGCTCTTTTCTCAAAATTCAGCTTGTCTCCTGATGTATTGGTACCGAATTTCGGCCTACATCTTGAGCAAAGGGTACCAAAATTCTGCGCTTTCTTGTGCCAATGGTACCAAAATTTTTCGATGGGTCTGATTTATGATATATGTACTCGGGATATCTTTGCCTCAGACAGCTCACGTAATTAGCAAAAGATGTTTAGTATGCATGGAAATGACCCGCAATCCTCCGCTTTGCTTCGGATTTTGGTCTCAAAAAAGCATACTAATACGTTTTGTTTGCTTATTTCCGTGAACTTCGAGGACTACTATACGTCTCTCGAACGAAAATGACGATGTATACATGAATCAGTCGTCATTTGATGACTAGGCACCATAAAAAGGTCTGAATGACGCTAGAATTATGCCTCTCTCAAATTATGAGCATTAATAAACTTCAATGACGACGCATATGCGTTTTGCGCCAGGGCCTCCATTTTTGCCCATTCAAGTCATTTGTTTGGGTTAGCATTAATAAATATGAAGTTTTATATAGATAACCTTTGCATCTAACACTAATCAATTATATATAGCCTTTACTCTTTTCTTACCTTAATATCTCAATATATTTACACATATTAATATAAATAAATATTTGTCATAAACCACTATTTTTAATATTAATATATAGTAGCCCAAAAATCACACAAAATTATTGAATGTGCATACTTGACATTCCAAATTTCAAAATAAAAAAAATTCCAAAGATATGATAATTATGAGAAGTTATTACTTTTATATAATATCACTATTAAATATAAATAACTAATTAACTATGATTTATATAGTAGCCAAATAAATAAAATAAAATAATAAATAATTTTAATACATAATAAAATGTCAAGATTTAAAGTTCATCTGGTATAGTTAATGTAAAAATATCTGCTGAATGAAGAACATGCCCAAAATTGAGATTCACTGTGTATGGATATGGATCAAATTTTATTTCATCCATTTTATCAAATTCCTCCCTAATTGATTTTAATTCATCATGCTGTTCATTTGAGTATTTATGGTGTTTAAGGTTATTGATTACCTCATCATCAAATGAATTATTCCATAATCCAATAATATTACAAATTTCTTCAGCAGTTGGACGTTTATCTGGATTAGCATCCATGCATCTGTAAGCTAGTTCAATATAGAATTTTGGTGTGTTGTTTGAGAATTCAGGTCTTACACCTTCACATATTCTCATTGCAAGGTCTATATTATGTGCCAAATTATTAAATGGTTGTTGACCAGTTGATACTACAGACATCAGAACTCCAAAACTGTATACATCTGATGTTTTTGTATATAGATTCTTTATTAAAACTTCAGGTGCAACATATGGTAGTACTCCAAATATATCATTGTTTTTTGATGCAGCTGTTTGGCTAGCTAAACATGATAACCCTAAGTCTGCAATATATGAACTCATACTTCCTTGAAGAATATTACCACTATGAAAATCACGATGAACAATCCCTTTTTCATGCATACCTTTTAAACCTTTAATAATTCCTTGAAGAATTACAATTTTATGTTTCCATTTTAAATTTTTAAATTCTTTTCTTAAATAATCTTGAAGACTTCCATTTTCCATATATTCCATTACAAATATATATTCTTTTGTAATTGGATCTTGTGTTAATCCATAAATATTAATTACATCACTTTTATAATGAAGCTTCATATAATTTTTGAACTAAAATAACAAATAAAATATTTAATTACAATAATAATAATAATCAAAATTAATATTAATAAAATAATTTACCTCATTAAGAAATTCATCAGAAACATTCTGTGAACCATGTATTTTTTTTAACGCCACAGTCATATCTTTATTATATCTTTTTTTATCACTTATGCCTTTATCACCATTTAACCAAGTAGCTTTGTGTATGGTTGTAAAACCACCTTCACCTATCTTTTCAATAATTGTTAGATCATTATATGGAATCCATTGAAAATAATCATTATTATAAGCTCTTGCTTTAAGTTGTGTGCTTTTAATCATCTCATCTAGTGTTTCATTACCACTAGTCCATCCTTCAGTTAATAGCTTTGGATCACATGATTGACACCATGAATAATCAGTATTATATCTATTGCAAATTGGACACTCTCCATATCTTTTTTTTCTTTCTTTTGAATATTCATCTTTTTTTTTGATTTTATCCATTTTCAAGGAAAATTTTTTTAAATACAAAAGTTTTTTTAACCAGTTATAATAACATAAAAATAATTTACTTACGGTTTAATTATTAATTTGTATAACGAATCAACATTTTGTGGGACCAAATACAACGAATTATGAAAAGAATGTAATTAATGTTATTCTGCAAGTAACAAGAAAAGCATCAAAAGGAACATTTGTTTATTACAAGGTTATTGTTAGGAACTATATGTGTTGCAAAATACGCTAATTCAGATACCATTTCAACTTCAACATTAAATCATCGTTTAGCATCCGGAAGAACATCTATATATATATACATTATCATTTATTATACATTACACGCATACATTTATTTATTTATTATCCGATGTGTTTGAAAAAGTTCAAGAACATCCACGATAAAAAATGAAAGACCTGCATCTTGCCAGCATTGAATGAATCGTACTAGATTCTTTACCTTTTAATATACTTCAGAGAGAAGCTTTCAAAATATTTATCAAGAAATCATATCCCTAAATTTCGTGTACCAAATAATAAATAAGATATTGTTGAAGGCAACTCCCCAAGTAAAAACTCATTCCGAGTCTTTATAAAAAAATTCATTAATATTAATTAGTTTAAAGTGAAAATATTACCAAGATCGTCATAATGAAAATTCTCCGATAATAACTTGTTTGGCAAATACAGTCTGCGTATTAAATTATTTAGTGTTATCGTTATCAGTTAGAAATTGAAATCTATAATTAATATGGAGGAGTTTAGTCTTCACGTATCAATATGCGAATTGCATTTTCATTCTCACAATGCTTCAGCAAGAATAGATAATGATTATTATAGCATTACCACAACCAACAATTCCCAAGTTATAAATAATAAAATATTAAAATTATAGTGAAAATTTACCAAGCGTATTTCACAAGGAGACGAAATTAAAGGAGATGCCAGTAGAAATGATGATAATATTGAGGTAGATGGGTAAATATAAAAGTTGTGCCAACAGCTGTTGTCGACGACGATGATGATTATGATGATGACTTTCTATTTCTTTTTTGATCGATAAACATAATTAGGATAGTTATGTTCATGTCAATGAGCCAAATAATTGAAAATGTGTCTAATTTCTGCAATAGAAATTCCTACATTCATTGGACGCGAATTTTGAAGCATAATCATGTTTAGGTTTATGTTCTGGACCTATTAACCTTGCTTGTAAATTCCAAGGATAAATTACAAATGGATTTATGGTCTGGGTATTTTTAACAAAGAGAAGGAAATGCCAAAGGTGTTGAAGATGATGATGGTGAATGTCTAGTTCTTCTTGAAATGTTTTAGTATATAATGATGGATCTATCAAAGAAATTAAAGCATCAAAATACTTTTTTTCGTTGTTTTTTTTTTGTGAAGTCAAGTAAAACAAGAGATAGATAATTTATTTTAAGTTGAATATATTTGAAATAAGAGTCATTATTTCACGACAGAATAAACAATTTATCCTTTCTAGAGTTTGTTTGATTTTAATGCGCCTGTTGATATAGATATTTTGTTTCAATGGAAGTGAAAAGTTTGGCTGGTAAAGTAAATAGTGGGAATTAATTAATTTATTAATTTACCTTTAATTAGCTAAATTAGTTTTATATCATTTACTTTACAATTAGACCACGAGTGATGATGGTAAAAAGCTTGAACATCAAGGAATCAAAATTTGATTATGATTTACTAAAAATAATAATAGTCTATATTAAAAAACCAATGAAAGTTATCACGAAATAAGCATCAAGACGTTTAATAGATATTGTAAACGAAAAAGATATACGGGTTTATTCATATCGTATACCATCAGACAACAACAGTTCTATAAAATGGAAGTTGATATTGAGGATTGTTTGCACATAGAATTTGAATATAATAAATCAAATAAATTATTTATTATTCGTGATTGGTATTATATTAATTTTTAGTGTTTGTGATTGTATAGATTATTCATAAACAAACTGGTGGAGGTAAGTAAATAAATGTCTTCAACTTGTAATTAAATTATAATTGAATTGAATTCTTCTATATGGTTGAATTCTATGCTATGATAATAATAATTTTATTGTTATAATTATCAAAGGCTTCAGGTCAATAATATATTCCAATTCGTCTATTTTCTCCAATTTTTTCGTGATGTGGATAAAAAATTTTCTACTTGTTATTATTTAAATCCTGTTCTTGTTGACGAAGAAAATAATCCTTTTTTTTTTTACACAGATGATGGATTAATACTTTGACACAATTTCAAAATAAGCAATGGAAAACCTGGATTTTTTTAAAGATGATGGCTCAATTCAATTTTTCTATAGTAATAGTTGCGGTTGTGACTCGATATACATCAAAATACCAAGAAAATTTCAATATTATGTAGTAATATATACTAAATATGGAGTTGGATAGAAAATCATTTATTTACAAAACGGGATTTACTTGCTGAATATTTTAATGTTTATATTGTTTATTCCCGAAATAATCAATTTGTTACACCCGCCCAAATATTTATTTTTTTTTGGAAGAAATGTATAATTTCAATTATTTCATAGTTCAATTATTAATTTGTTCTAATTTTGTTGATCATAAATATGGAAAAACTTGCGACAACTCCAGAACAAATTGAAGAAACAAACCATGTCAGCTTCATTCTTCCTTCTAAAAAATCATTAGAAGGATTAAGTAGGACTCCCTCTTTAATGTCAGTTTCTTCTGATAATTTCACTTTAAAACAACCACATTATCATGCTCTTTATCAACCTTCATGGCGTGAAAAATTGGCTGTTGAGCTTGATAATACTGCTATCGGTAGTATCTGGAAAATAGTGGATGCTTTTCTCAACATTTTATTATGTATGATTTATATAGCACATACTGGTCATATGATGAAATCTTTGCCGCTGGTGAATGTGTGCTTGGAAGTAATAGTATCATTGCTGTTGATAATAGAATATGTTCCAAAATTTTACATTTATGAATTTGAATCATGGAAGTCATTTTTCACTAGCCCTATTCCACTCCTAACAATCTTAACAGTCTTTCCTTGTGCTGCCACTGCTCATGATCCCGTATTCCAAGAAACTCGTTACATTGTATTTTTTTATCCTTTTCGATTTATTCGATGCTATTTATCTGTATATGATTGTTTAGTTAGAAGCGAGAAATCTATCATCAAAATTGGTCAAGTTACCAGTAGGGTATTAATCTTTTTGACATCCATCATTTTTCTTGTATTAACTGGATCAACTTTGTTACATGGTGTTGAATATGCATATATGGTAAGCAAAATATCTAATATATATATATATATATATCTGTCTCTATCTATTTATCTATTGATATATTTATCATATATATTTATATATGTAGGGTGCAGATAATATTACATTCTTGGATGGTAATAGTTTATTGATGTATAATTTCTCCATAGGTTATTTAAAAAATTGTATTAACTTGATAACTTTATTGGTAATAGCTGTTTTCTTCACAACTATTATGTTGGGCACTGTTGGTTATCTTAGTGACATAGTACCTGATAATGCTTTTCCTAGAATTCTTCTTTTGGTGATATTTACAACTGGTCTTATATTTATTCCGGTAATTAATCAAATTAATTTTCTTAAAAAAAAAAAATTAAAACAATTACACATGAATTAATTCATTAATTATCATTTATTAATTACTCGTCTAGTATTCTATATCTGAATTGATTATTCTAATACGTTCAAAATCTATTTATGATAGACCATTCAGAAAAATATCACAACAACCCCATGTCATCATCATTGCTCCAACTATAGAATTACCCTCATTAAAACATTTTTTAAAGGAATTTTATTCATTAGCGCATGGTCTTGCAACCGTTAATACAAAAGTATTGCATCAAATATATTTAAAAATTCCATGCAAAACTTTAAATAATAATAATATTTTTTTTTTTATTTATAATTTTTATTTTATATTATTTTTTTAAATTATAGGTAGTAATTTTAAATCCTGCACAACCAAATGACCGTGTAAAGTCATTTTTATCAGATCCTTTATATGCACATCGTGTACAATACATTAGGGGTAGTTCACTCGAGTCGCGTAGCTTAAAAAAAGTAAATGCAAAAAAAGCCTCTGCGTATTTTATTTTAGCCAAAAAATTTACACAACAAAGCGATACTATTGATGCAGAAAATGTTTTAAAAGCAATGGTAAATAAATCACTTTTTTTTTTAAAAATAAAAAAAAATAAAAAAAATAATTCAATATAATAATCTAATTGAAATAATAGGCATTAAGTAAATACGATGAAGGTCCTAAACTTTATATTCAATGTATTCTTCCAGAAAATAAAATTCATTTTGAAAGTTTAAGTATGTTACAAAAATTATTTTTTTCCTATAAAAATATTTAATTAAAATATTTAATCAAATAAATAAATGAATATTGTTTGTTTTAGATCCTGAATTAATATTATGTATAGACGAGTTAAAACTTGCCATACTTGCTCACTCATGCTTAACTCCTGGATTTTCAACACTTTTATATGGTCTTACAACTACGTTCACTTATGAATCAACTCACGAATTGAGAAATATTAAAAAAGAGTCATCATCTCGTTTGGAAAATGACTATATTGAAGATTATATCGAAGGCATCTCTCAATCTATCTACACCACAACCCTATCAAATTATTTTGCTGGTTCTACATTTCATGCTGTTGTTGGTTAGTAGATTGTAAATTTTTCATTAAAATTTTCCATTAAAAAAAAAGCAGTTAATTTATTATACCCATGAACGAATGAATGCGTAGGTCGTTTGTACGAAAGTTTAGGTGTTGTACTATTTGCTATTGGTATTCCTCAACAACATTTTCCAATTGGATCATCAAATAATACATCACATGAAGAGGGCGATTGTGACGGAGATGCCAAGAACTATATGGTTTTAATTAATCCTGGAAATTATATTGTAAAAGGTGACGAAGTTGGATTTATAATTGCTTGTGATGGTGCGCTGGCTGAAGGTGTTTCCAATTATGAATGGCATAATTTGCATGTTCTAAACAATGAGAATATATCTTCTGAGCCACAACAAATTCCTTCAGAAAGACAACCATTATTGTCATCCGACACGTTGAAAAATAATAACGGTGGCTCATATTATGATATAAAGAAAAAATCGGGCCGTCCTACAAGCCCTGATAAAACCCATCACGAATATCCTTACAAACCAGATACTATTACACGTCATCAACGCGCGCTTTCTACCCCTCTTGCTTTTGCATCAGACTTTGATCATAAACAACATTACAAGCAGCACCATCATCACACTATAGATCCCTCTTCCTCCTCATCAAATGCTCTTGATAGCGAACACATAAATTTAATATTGGATACAATCAATGAACATATCCTCTTGTGTGATTATTCAACTGCAACTTTTCCACGTAATTTGGATTGTTTTGTTAGCCCATTACGTAAATCACATTTGGATAAGTTTAAACCAATTGTGATTCTTTCACCAACAAGACCTACAACAAGTCAATGGAAAATTTTAAGTCAATTTGATCAAGTATATTTTGTTCAAGGAAATCCAATGACACGAGAAGGTCTTGAACTTGGCAGAGTTAGATTTGCAAAACAAGCTGTGAGTGTCGTTAATAATTTTAATTTGTTAAAAAATCTTTTAAAGCTAACAACGATTATTAACAAAAATAATTTTCTTTAATCATCATTTATATTGTTATTAAAATATCAGGTTATATTAACCGATTCTACTAAAATTTTAAAGTAAATATATTTATATATATATGTATATATATAATGATTTTTTTTAAAAAAAACTTTTGATCTAATTCTTTTACTTAAAAATTAAATTATCAAGAGATGGAGAAAAGACTGAAGACGCACCAGCGATGTTGGTTTACTTGAACATTAAGGCAATGTCTATCGAGGAAGACATAGATGTGATTGTAGAGTTTGTACATACGAACAACATGAAGTTCGTTTCAGAAGACACGTCAGCAGTCATTGATAAGAATATTAATGGTAATTAATTATCTATTATTGTTTTTTTTTTAATATGCCAAGATATACATATGCTAAATTATATATATATATATATATATTTAAATAGCACATAATTCACCAGCTTTCATGGCAGGAACTTGTTTTTCTTTATCCATGTTGGATAGCATAATATGTCAATCATTCTATCAACCACATCTAGTTGCTATCATTAACCAATTACTTTTTGGAGCTCCTCCACTTCAACTTTCTTCAGGTACAACTTGTTCTGCGCCCGCTCATTCACACATTTTTCAAATTCCTGTCCCCGTAAGATTTATAGGTTCACAATATGGATCAATGTTTCATTTCTTATTGGGCGAGAAAAGAGCTATTCCTTTGGGTCTATATCGTACCAATAAATTTATAACACCAAATGGTAAAACCAAATATTCTAAATATGTATATACTTGTCCCAGATATAATGTAATGTTGAGAGATGATGATAAAGTTTTTGTGTTGAGTAAACAAATTCCATCTATATTGTAATCTATTTTTTTTTTATTTTGTTTTTTTTTTTTAGTTCTTTTTCAATTGTAAATGATTTCATTAAAAAAATAATATATATACGATGCTATTATTCAATTTATAAAACAAGTTTTTGTTTGTTTTCTTTCAAGTAATCAATTACCTTTTTTACTTCAAGAAAAAGTCTGATATAAACTTAGAAAGAAGTCCATACATATCCCAGCTATATCTGTTATATCAGAGATAGGAGATTACCAAGATTATTTTAATAATCATTCAAAATTTGTTGTTAATGAAAATTCTAATGGACATAATTAACTGCATGTGAAAAAGAACTAAACAGATATGAAACTTAAAAAAGTTTCAATCATCCGAGATGAATAATATATTGTTTTCTAATATTTTCTGTGTACACAGATATTTCTTGCTTAAAGATAATAATAATGGAATCCTGAAATTGGGTTCCAGGAAGGATGTACAATAGTAATATCATTGCACTGTTTTTTGATGATCGCACATCCTTATTAAAGGATTGTCTTTTAAGACAGTGTATTCTAATTATATAATGCTATTTTCATCAATTACGTCTTTAGATGGTTTGTTTTGCTTGTTATTCTTTTACAACAGTGGTAAAAGTAGTAGCTAGTAAAGTATTGAAGATTTGAATTTATATACAGTATATTGAAACATCAAGAAAAAAATGAAAGTCCTTACAAATTACACAAGTAATTGTAATCATGAAAAGGCTGTAGATGAGATCTCAACGATTCCAATTCTTTATATACATTGCCGTGTTTTAATGCAACGAAGGTTTTTAATCAGTTTGGTTTGTCATTTTTATAGGAACAACTGCCAAGGTACATTTGCTAATTGGCGCGTCCAGTTTTCTTAATAATGGAATTTGATATTTCAGAAGAAGTTGCTGTATCTATATGTATCTATACCAAATCAACTGCAAGAATGTTAACATTGCGAGTAATAGCTGCTGATCTTTAATCTTTGTATGGTGCAAGTCACCTAGTCCCGCAACTTGCTGCGCCTCGTGACCAATTTTGGGAAAAAACATCAAAACTCAGAATTGTAAGTTATGCTCAAAAATGCAATAAAATCTTTATATCACGTGACATTTAATGGTGATACAAATTAAAAAAAATATTTATATTAATATTAATAATATATATGGGGCATGCTGCAACAAAACCAGACAAAGTGAACATTGGTATTACCAAGAATTTCAGGGATCAATATTATTTTTTAACATCACGATTGTATCACCATGTAATGTGATCATGATATTTGTCTAGACAAAAATAGTTAATATGAAACTCATTTACATCCTATCTGTTATGGAACCCAAAAATTATAGCACTATTAGAAGTATTCTAAAAAAAGAACAAGGTGAAAAAATTGTTCCTTACATTTTCAAAATAAATGATACTCAGACACTGGAAGCTTATCTAAAAAAAGAAAGGATTACCTATGAAATTTACCATGAAGAAAGAAAAATAATAAGCAATAAACGAACCTTAACATCAGCTCATGATGAACCAAGAAAGAAAAGAAGACTGGCAGAATAAACAATCAAATCATTATTAATCATCATCATCATCATCATCATCCAATTCATCTTCTAAATCGGAAGGAGAATTTCATCATTGGAGAAGGGTTTTTCTTTTGCGAATAATTCAAATAATTCCTGCTAAGAGTAAAAGTAAGCCCAGTCCACCTAGTCAAGCAGCAAGATTATTCATTCTTCAAAAGCTTTCTTTGGAAGTAGGAGTTAATTTTTGGGTTTGATTTTTAGCATAACTATGGTTAATTCCGCCGAGTTTTTCGAAATAGTATTTTTTAGTTCCTGCTTCATTTGGACTAACTCCATCTCCATAAATGTTCCAATCTAAACTTTTAGTTTTATCTGCTGGATTTCGATCAGCTCTCATTTCAGTTTCAATTTCTTCTTTCTTAGCATTGTCAGTTTTGATGTGATAATCAGCGACTGCTCCAATTACATACTGTGGACTGAGAGTAAAGAAATAGTTTAATTTATCTTGTTCAGCAACATTATCCTCAGGAAAAGGAGGAATTCCTTTTTTATCTTTTAAATAATCTTTGAGATGAGTAAAGAAAGGCTCAAAATCATCCAAATCATTCACAATACTTCCAATCTTTTTTAGTTCTAATTCATCTTTTCTAAAGAGTTTTTGGTCTCCAAAATTCTTTCATTGTTCTACTAAAGAAGTAGTAATATCTGCATCAATCTTGAAAACTGAACGAAGATTTTCACTTCTTAATTCTGGATTAGTTAAGTAATTAGTAATCGCCAATAATTCTGCTTCTTCTTCTAGACTAATACCGATGATTTGCTGAGCATTATTTAACTCACTTTTTAGTAAATTAAAATAAGTTGTAATGCTTTTCCCAGTTAGGTTTCTTCCTTCTTTTTTTTCTCAATTATTTAGTCTTTCTCAAAAACTAGCACCTAAACCTTGTCAAGTGCTATAAGTAGGAAGTTTAGCATTTCGAATAGCTTCTAACTGTTCTACTTTAGTGAGATATCCTCTTTCAGTGGTTGTAAGGAGAGTTTCTAGTTTGCCTTCATTTTCTAAATCAGTTAAGAAGTAAATCAAAGTTCTAATCGCAATCGTTTCTTGATAAGTGATAATTTCTTGATTAGATGGATCAGTTAATTTATCTCCTAAATTTTTAAGTTGAGTTCGTAAGTGATTAATTTGATTAGTTTCAAAATCCTTAATTTGATTTTGGATTTGGATCAGTTTTTGTTTTTTATCAGCTTTTTGAAGACTAATTTTAGTTAATTCACTCCTTTTTTTTCCTAATTCCGCATGAATACTTTCTAAACCTACTCGTTTATCAGCTGTAATAGTTTTTCATTCATTTCACACATCTATCATTTCATTATCAATTTCTTTATTCTTGACTTCTCTAGTTAATCATTTGGCTTGATAAGGATTAAGTTCATTACTTCTAACTTTTAATTCATCAAAACTTAAACCTTTCGCTTCCTCTCTAAATTTTACAAGAGTATCCATAGCCTTTTTCACTACCTTTTGGCTAATTTTAGTTCATTTGAGACAAAGCTCGTTAACCTCTTCCTCTTCAAATAATTTTTTCCCAGTCGCATCCAATAAATTACTGATAAATTTCTCGACATACAAAGTATAGTTTTTTTTTGCAATATGACGGTTAAAAATTGATGATGAACAAGTTAATTTCTTCTCATAAATGGTTATTTCTTCCTCTCTAATTCTTTCATCCATAATCCCATCTTTACTAATTACCTCATCATAAGCATTAAATTCAACGGCTTCATCACTATTATAAACTTGTCAAAAGAATTTGGGAATTTGACCATTAGCCCAAGTTAAGTGTTTTTCTTCAACATCAAAAGGAGCTTTCAACACATTTGTGCTATTATCAACATATTTCTTTCCAATAATACTTGCATCAGCTCCTCGTCAATACATTGTATAAGAATTATCTAAACTATAGCCATTCTTAAAAGGTAAACAACTCTTTTGACCTTTTTGTATGAAAGGACTATTTTGATAGTTGCTATCTTTGGGAAAGAGAGCATGCATGACATAAAAAATATCACTAATATACCTTCTTCTCTCTTTGAACTCTCCTTTACTTATATTCTTCTTTCTTTTTGTATTAGAATAAAGATAGCTCATTAAATCTTTATCACGTTCATTTGAAATTTTAGCATTTCAGTTTATAACTCTCTCAAAAGCACCTTTAAATTTTTTCTTATCACCAGCATCCCAAGCACAATCTGAAGAATCAATATATTTGAAAAGTTTATCTTTATCAATATCTTTGAGAATAGTTCAAATTTGCCCTACAAAATCAGTACTCAAATAAAGTGGATGAGTATAAGGTTTATTATTCCCATTATAACCAGTTTTGATAATGGAACCATAATGTTCAGTGGTAGCTGGAACATCAGATTTATAATTTAATTCTGAAAAATTTTTACCATTTTCAATTATAAATTCTAAAAATTTACGACCTCCTGTGTTAACAATTCTAAGATCATCTTTTAAAGCAGTAACTGCAGTGTCAACCTTATTTTCTAAATTAGTTTGTTCTTGAAGAACTTGAGGATTATATTTTTTTTCTAACTCAGTAATTTCTTTGGCAACCTTTTCTTCTTCTTTTGATACTTTGGCAAAAGTAATTAATGCTTCCTTTAATTTTAAATCCAAAGTTTTATTGTTTTTTCTAAATAAGACAGTTTGGTATTCTTTTACCATTTTATCAACTCTTCTTTCCTCATTTTCATCCTTTTCATTAACTAATTGGTAAGCAATGGAATTATTTCTTCTTTGCTCCATTAAAGCAACAAGTAAAGCATTACCATTAGTAGACAATCCTGTTTCAGAAGTTTTTTCAGTAACTAAATTAGCCTCTGCTTTTTTACAATTATTTAATAATTCAGCAGTATCTTGGAGAAGAGAAACATCCAAAATACCATTAGGAGTTAAAAGAGAACTATTAAAGATTTCTTTTTCTGGTTGAGTGAGTTCACCACCATGATAGTCAGGATATTCCTTTGTTTTTTTGATTGTATTGATATCATTTTTATTGAATGTCATGATTTTACTTCCTATATTATATTTTAATATTAATATCATTAAAAGATTAAATATAAAGAATTTAATAAAAACTAATAAAGTAATAAAATTTGCAGTTGACTGAAATATTTTTATTCAATATCAGTATAAATTGGTTTGGGACAAGTGATATCTTTGTATTCATCTTTCACAAATGGGCGAATATTATGATAAAGATACTCTTGTCTTTTGTAGTCCAAAGGAGGTGGTGTTAACATTAAAATAGATAAAGCTCTAATTTCTTCAAAAATATCTGATTTCTTGGTTTTCAATAAATTGAATTCAGTAAAAGGTCCATTAGCAACTTCTTGAACTTTGACCACACCAAGGTTAGATGCTTCAAAAAGAAAATGTTGATATTTTTGTATACTTGGTAATTTCTTG